TAAAATGACAATTATATGCTTTGGACACTAATGAGATGATTAAATACTTTATCAGCTTCTAGTGATTGAACAATAGTTTGTTTACCGAAAAAAATCCATAAAATGATACACTAAAACTCGATTTCTGAAATTGTTATTCAACTAGAAAAATATAATCAAATCATGTTTACAATATAAATTGTATTCAAAGATCTACGAATAATTATTACACTATGTATATATATTTATAAATGTTTTTTTTAGAGGAAATTGCAAAAATGCCACTTTTTATGTGCACATTTGCAAAAATGCCATTTAGGGGGTATTCATTTGCAAAAATATAATTAATTATAGATTTTTAAACTCTATATCTTAACATTCTAAACACTAAAAAATGTTTTGACCCCTAAACCCCTATAAACGCTCATAACTAAACCCTAATAAAATATAGTTAACCCAAATATAAATAATATAAAAAAAAAATAATTTTGAAAAAGTGACATTTTTGTAAAGATTTAAAAAATGTGGCATTTTTGTAAAGTACCACCTGATGGCATTTTTTTAAATTTATCTTTTTTTTTTTTCTACCATGTATAAAATCAAAATTTATAGTTTATCAAACTATTACGTAGTATACTTTTATTTTTAATCATTTCAGCTAATTTTAGTTAACAGTTAGATAAGGATAAACAAATCTAAAACTAGTAAAGTACGGAAACGCCCCTTGTCTGTGCGAGTTATCGTGTTCCCCAATCGCAAATGATCGCCTGAAACCATCGCCGGAGAGATTGATCCGCCATGGCGAAATCGGAAAACTCAACGACTTCTACTTTCTCCTCTTTCGCCAAGATTCAACCGTCCAACGATGCCGACGCCGATCCCGATTCGTACGCCCTGGAGAAATTCAGGCTCTACGAAACTCGAGCGGTAAGCTTTACCGATTTAGCAATTTTGAGATAGGTTCGGAAAATTTCTGTTCTACTTATTGGGAAGATCAATGAAGGAAACCGCCGCGAAAAATCTCTGAATCGATATGTGATTTTGCATCCTTTAAGAAACCCTAGATTGAAATCGTAGCAAGGTTGAATTTCTTATTCCTGTGTGTTATATTGTTGAACAGAGGTTTTATCTAGTTGGGAGTGATAAGAATAAAAGATTCTTCAGAGTGCTAAAGATTGATCGTTCAGAGCCATCTGAGCTTAACATTAGTGAAGATCCGGTAGTATATTCGCCTCAAGAAATCAAGAGTCTGCTTCAGCGTATCGCTGAAGGTAATCGTGCTACAGGCGGGCTGGCTTTCGTGGCCAAAGTCTATGGAATTGCTGGTTAGTCGTTGGAAAAATATATGTTTGTTCTCATTGTATCTTTGGAGTGTTTGTCTACTGGGCTAAGTTTTGGTGAACTTGTTTTCCTTGTAGGTTGTGCTAAGTTTATGGAGTCATACTATTTAGTTTTGGTTACAAAACGGCGACAAATTGGATGCATATGTGGGCATGCGATATATGCTATTGATGAAAGTCAAATGATCAGTGTTCCACATGCAACTATCCAATCTGATGTTGCGAATTCTAAAACTGAATTAAGGTCTGTTTCCGGGAATTTTGTATCCCCCTTGGAAGTTCGTCTCTTTATTAATGTCTCTTTAGGCTAAACTCTGTTCATGTGCCAACTTTGGTATTCTTATTGCACCTTATACGATTTCACAAAGTTTTTATGTGTTGAGTTCTTTGTATTTTCTTTATTTGCAGATACAAGAAGCTTCTGTCAAGTGTAGATTTGACAAAAGATTTCTTCTACAGTTACACTTATCCTATAATGCAGAGTTTGCAAAAAAATGTTTTATCATCTGGTGAGGAAGGAGTCCCCTATGATAACATATTTGTATGGAATGCGTATCTGACGCAGCCTATTCGATCAAGGTGCAACAACACTATTTGGACACTGGCATTAGTTCATGGCCATTTTAAGCAGGTATTTTTTATGCTCTTGTGGCTTCACCTATTTGGTCCGAGGTTTGGCACCAGGAGAGTTAAAATGGTTCTAACTAGCTTATTGGTTTTCCGCATCATTCAGACAAGGCTATCAATATATGGAAGAGACTTCAGTGTTACTCTAGTCTCCAGACGTTCTCGACATTTTGCAGGCACACGGTAAGTCCTTATTCTAATCAGGCCTCTCATGGATGACGAAGTCAGTGACAGTTTTAATTTTTTAAAGCTCTTTCTTGGTTATACCTTGTACCTTTGGGACGTTTTTGTTGGGTGAATATATTATCAAGTGGCGTGAACTCTTCTAGACTAGTTTGGATGCTTGTATGTATTGTTTCTGTAAAATATATAGCCCTTTTTCATTCTGTAAAAATGTCATCACAGTTACTTGAAAAGGGGAGTGAATGATCGTGGAAGGGTTGCAAATGATGTTGAAACAGAACAACTTATTCTTGATGAAGAAGCTGGATCATGCAAGGGAAAAATGAGCTCAGTGGTGCAGATGCGAGGATCAATCCCACTCTTTTGGTCACAAGAGGCCTCAAGATTTAGTCCTAAGCCTGATATTTTCTGTGAGAAATAACATAACATGCGTCTGTTATCTTGATTAGAACATTTAAATCTATATGTGGTTATTGATCTATTTTTGCTTCTTATGGATGACTACTGATGTTTTAGTTTCATTTTTTGCCTCAGTACAGAGGTATGACCCTACATACGAGTCAACCAAAATGCATTTTGAAGACCTGGTGAGCCGATATGGAAACCCGATCATTGTGCTAAACCTAATCAAGGTTAGCTGTTCTATGTAATGTCCTTTTTAAGCAAGAGATGGTTATGCCCTTTGTACTTATGGACAAATTTCCATGGAAATATTCAGACAGTTGAGAAAAGGCCTAGGGAGATGGTGCTAAGACGTGAGTTTGCGAATGCAGTGGGTTACCTAAATTCAATATTTCGTGAAGAAAATCATCTCAAATTTATCCACTGGGATTTCCATAAATTTGCAAAGAGGTAAATTGTTTTGGATTTGTTTTCCCACCTTTTAACCTAAACTCACATTGCCTACTATTTTTGGTGTTAAAGCAAGTCGGCGAATGTATTGGCTGTTTTGGGTGCTGTAGCAAGCGAAGCTCTTGATTTGACTGGATTATACTTCAGTGGCAAGCCTAAAATTGTTAAGAAGAAGGCTAGCCTACTTAGTCATTCTAGCACTGGAAGGTAATTTTTGTGATGATGTGGTCTGCTACTTATATTTAGTCAGAAATTGGGTTTGTTTTGTAACTGCTATATTTATTTTAAGCACTGGAGCTAGTAGTTACCTCTCTGGCTGTAATAGAGATAGTTACTGCAGGGAACCTTCTCTGCGTGATCTAAGAGTTTACTCTGCGGAACTTTCAAGGGGTGAGAGTTCAAATGATATACTTAGCGCTCTTGCTAATCGAGATAAAGAGGTGAAGCCAAGCCAACAAAAAAAAGATGCTGGAGCTGATTCTTCAGGTCCTCGATACCAAAGTGGTGTTCTGCGTACTAACTGTATTGACTGCTTGGATCGAACAAATGTAGCACAGTATGCATATGGTTTGGCTGCTTTAGGCCGGCAGCTGCACGCAATGGGGTTGAGTGATACACCTAAGATCGACCCTGACAGTAGCATTGCTGCTGCACTTATGGATATGTATCAGAGCATGGGTGATGCCCTTGCACAACAATATGGCGGCTCAGCTGCTCATAACACTGTAATACACCACTTATCACCTTTGACCAGATATTTGTCCGTCTGACAAAGCAACATTTGCAATGCTTATTCGTGAACATTGTTTAATGGATTATAGGTTTTCCCAGAAAGGCAGGGGAAATGGAAGGCCACAACGCAGTCTAGAGAGTTTCTCAAGTCTATCAAACGATACTACAGCAATACCTACACCGATGGCGAAAAGCAAGATGCCATTAACTTGTAATATACTTCTCTTTCTTGCGCAAGTCACTTTAGTTCTTTGCTAAGTTCGTAATATTTTTAGTTTGCCAGTGATGTAGCAATAGGATGAAGAATTTTAGAATAATTTCTGAGTTCGTGCTTCGTTGATGATATGGATAGAGGCAGTAGAACCTTGGCATTATCACTGATAATATCAACTACCAGGATACTGAACCCTCTGTGGAATAGTTGGCTAAGAACTTTTCCCCCGTTTTTATTGAGTCTCAATTTTTTGTAACTAATGACTTTTATTGGGAGCAGGTTTTTGGGATACTTTCAACCTCAGGAAGGGAAACCTGCGCTCTGGGAGCTAGATTCTGATTATTATCTCCATGTGTCAGGGATTGGAGATGATATTTTTCCAGAAAGCGGGTAAGATTTACTTTTAATGAACCTAGTGTGTCAGATTATGGATTTATTCTTTATTAGATGCAAATGATTATTTTGAGCCGGTGCCCGAGACTGGAGGTCAAGTTTAATGGACTTTTGAACCAATTTGGGAAATACCAGAGATGTTAAATTAAATTTCCCAGGAAAGATCATAACCTCTGGTTGCGCATGATATCTAAATTCTTGTGTATTGCAGGGTCCAGTCCGTTGCTAAACCCATGAGTGGTATAGGAGTCAGTCTTGCACCAGTGCCGGCTTTCAGAGAAGACTTCTCCCGGAAGAAGCTGACGTCGTTTGACAAACTGATAGAACAGACATGCAGTTCAATAAAGAACGTGAGGCTTTGTAGCGAAATAGACCAAAGGCCAGGTGGCAGCACTGGAAGCACTGGTGTGGCTCCTGATGCAGCGTAATGATCCTCACTGGAAATTCCCACTCATCTTATTAGGCTTTTGCCTGGAGTTTTGGGAATGGCTAATATACTCTATTCATATCTTCTTCTTTTTTGCATTTACTTTAAGAAAGTAGAAAGATAGATTGTTTCTAGTTTAGAATTAGTTCATCATTTGTTTTGAATATTTGCTTATTTTTCTTTGACTTTCTTATCTGCAGTGAAATTCAGCTCAAGAGCCCCAATTGGCTGTTTGGTTCAAGAAAACCCGAAGAGAGTGGCTCAGCCACAAAACCTGGTGCAGAGGATAGCGAAAAAGGAGTGACCTCGAGTGAGAGAGTCAACGATTTCTGCAACTTGGATTGGCTTTCTGAGCCCAACGATCATCAGGAAGATATCTTCCAAAGGTACTGGCAAATTCACCATGGTCTAACCTCAACTGCAAACTATAGGCATTTTTAAAATCCGTATTTCGTCTCTAGTGCATCGAATCAGTTGTTTCATTTTATAGGTACCTATCGATCACATCAAGCAATGAAGCCAATGGTTGGTATGGTGGTACCCTCCTCGGTGACCAAGATGAAAACAGCGAAATTTACAGACATTATGCTGCCTTCTGTCAGGTTCAGCTTCCTTTTTTATTACTGATATGCAACAATTCCTCTGTAGCTTACTTAATAGCTCAAAATTCTGTTTCTTTTATGATCCGATTTATACAGTGTCCAGCGATGGAACCGTTTGAGAACGACCATGAATTAGAACAGAACTCTGCAAAAGTTATCCGTATGAACACAGTCGATGTAATGGATATTGGAGAAGCAGAAACGGAGATGGAAAACGCTTTAAATGAATACGCTCTGATCGGTGGCAATCTCGGGATCATTCCTACACAATGCAAATACTTCGCCAGTGATCCTTGTTGGCTAGCCAGATGGCTCGTTGGAGATGATAAGATCCCGAAGGTCATATAATACCAACTAATTTTGTCACCCCCAAGAACGTAACGTCTCACATCAGAGACACTTCTCTTTTTGGTTGTATGCTTGTGAATGTGTTTGATCGTGCATTTTGTGTAGGTAAATAGATATGTAGATAAAAGGGACAACAAATCCAAAGAAAATAACATTGTTGGTTTGCTATTAAGGCGGTATAATGAAACACAATGATTTTTTTTTTTTAAGAAGACTCTTCTACTTGCACAAGAAGAGGTATGGATTTCGAGTGTTTTGCTTTACGTGAAAATCTTTTATTGAAAAAGAATTGGCTCATTCTATGTATTCTTCACTAAATAAAACATATTGGTACAACATAATATGGGGGGAATATATGACAGACTCGGCCCCCAGAGACAAAAACTAGTTTCCTTGGCTTCCCTCTACAAATTTCTTCACTTGTCTTCTTTGATACACACAACTACAAATATATAATGATGTTTTATTTACTTACAGTAGCATATCTGACTTGGCTGGTAATCTCTTGAAGAAATTTGCAGGTACTGAAGGCATTCTGCTCCTGAACCGTGGATGGCGCAGCATGAACAGCCCGACTAGGATTGCAATCACCTGGAATGGTGTCACATAGATAAACACCGCCCAGATCAAAGAGAAGACGATGAACAGAGCTGTCGCCCTCGGGTCTCTCCAGCTAAGTAAGGCTTGAATTCTCTCTCCTTGTGTCGCCAGATCGCCCACGACGGTCTGGACTCTGCCACCGACGCTCCTAAGCCTATCATACCTCATTCTGACAATGTCTGATGGTCTGCTTGTCGGGAAGGAGTCAAACTCCTCGTCTAGCTCGTCTGGGTGTGCGTTGTCTGCTTGGGAAATGCGAGCGTCCATGTGAGGCGGGTGTCTTGGCCTGTACCGGTAATTCCACATGCCTATCACAAAGAGGTAGAGGAAGATTGTGGGTAAAATCAGTTCTGGGTAGCAGACAAGAATCAAGAACAGGACGTGGACCAGGCACGTTGTGATCGGGTTTCTCCATGTGCAGATATCGTTGAACCACTTGCAGACCAGAGTGACCGAGGAGAGAAGCGACATGATTCTGCTGAAATTGGCTTTGCTTCTCCTTAGACTGAACATATGGTAGTCTACATCAAGCATGTACTCGACAACCTCTCGTCTCAGCGGCGGCTCGGACCTTGATAATCTTGTTGCAACTATTTGCATCGCCTGATGCCTAAGCAAGTCGATATGCCTTACGGGTATCGGTTGAATATAATGCATTTTGGGTAACAATGGTCTTCCGTATTGTGCCATCATGTTAACAAAAGCGGTGCAAGTGTACCTGAGAGCTAGCTGAAGCTCACCATTTTTCTTTAGACCAGACGATGTAAGAACCAGCAACGGGTAGTAATGAGTGTAAACCCGGTCTGTCTCCAGCGTAGATAGCCTGACTCTAACTTTCCCAATCCTCTGGTCCTTAGAGTCACCACCATCGTTGATATGACCATTGTCAAAAACTCCAATTGTTATGACCGTACAAGGATCATGAACTTCCCAAGTATATTGCTCGTTCCACTTAGGTGCAAGCTCGTCTAAAAGAGTCCTCGTTCTCACCCATTTGTTCCCATATTTCGCCACACAATAAGGATCAGTCATTCTCCCATCTTTAACCTTCATAGGCATCAAGTTCCTAGCACTGAGAATCCCAAGCTCAAGAATCCCAATGCTCGGCTTCCTCAAATGCTTTGAAGACGGTTGAAGATCACTGCTGAAATGCGTGGACTCATCAAGAACATGGTACCCGGCTTCTATACAAAGCCGCAGCAGAATCTTACTCGAAAACTTCTCTTTCCTCTTCTCACTCTCTTCCTCCATACCCATTAAATGTCTCTGAAGATTAAACCAACGTGGGTCAGGCATTTTCCCAGTCTCTTGCCTCACCGGAATATCCCTCACCGGTATAAACACCCTCCCCAAAATCTCATCTTTACCCGGACCAATCCTATCATCAACGGAAACAATCACCATATCCTCAAACGGCTCAGACACAACAAACATAAGCTCGTCGTGCCACTGCGGATTCATCGTCCGCATCTGAGGCGTCCTCGTCGCTCTCATCTGATTTCCCGCCTGAATCTTCACAATCGCATCAGGTACTCTCCCTTTATCAGACGGAACAAGATCCTGAGCTTCCAATACATTAATCCTAAGGTAATACAGCTTCGGCGAGAAGTAAACTTTGGACCGAGTGTTCGATAGGTTCGAATGGCTCACGCGGTGCGCGTCCGAGTGCCAAGCGTCTGGAAACGACTCGTCTGCTTGAGTTCCCATCCAAACGGCAAGCATTATCTCACCTCTGTTAGTCTTCATCCCTTTCTTGTCCTCTAGCCTGTACCACTGTGGAGCCAGAGGACTATCAGGAGGAACTCGAAGAGGAACTTCAGTAAGATCGATAAGGACTCTTCCGACGAAATCGTCTTTAGTCACAAGATCTTTGTCTTTAACCGTGACTTCAAGCAGATTCGATTGTAATCTCTCTTTGGAAAAGGCAAAGATCTGTTTCCAGATCGGATTCGAATTCTTCTCCAAATGTTTCGTTAAACCTTTGTAGTTACCAAGCTTCACTTCCACATAAGGATCTAAGCTACCGGATACATCCATCACCGGAAGATCTCTAGCTTTCACGACGCTCACGTAAAGGTAATGCATCTGCTCAACGAGGTCGTACGTGCTCGAGGTTTTGTCTCCGCTGCTTCGGTAGTAGTACGATTGTCGCATACGAGCTGCTAATGGAGGACTTGTTTCAATTAGCTGAAACTCTGGATTCTGTCTCGGCACTTGCATCTGCATTACCGCAGCAGACGGTGGTCCTGGAGCTCTCATGGAATCCGACCTAAACTCCGGTTGATTAGGAGGAAGATTATGATTACCAGGCTTTGCTTGAGACTGTTGAGGAGGAGGTCCGGCGTGAGCACCGATTGAGTGGAAAGTCCTCGATTCTTTCTCTTTCTTCTTCGGCTTCATCATCGTCTCCACATAAACCTCTTCGTACGGATTCTGATTCTGATTCTGAAATTCCTGAGATTCGAATTTCTTCTCCTCCTTGGTCTCTTTCTCTGAGAAATCCACCGCCGGAGAGTCGGCGAAATCCGAGCCGTCGATAGGAGCGGCGTAGATTCTCAGAGCGATATCGCCTTTGATGTGAGAAAACAAACCACGTTTATCGAGTGGATATCTCTGTACATCGGCTTCAGATTCCGATAACGGAACAGAAGCACCGGAGATTTTAACACGGCCGAGAAACTTCCCCGGCTGATTAATATCCCGACGGTCATCGTAGACGGTGACGTCGATGGTCTTGTTGGTCAAACGGTTAAAGTCACCGACGTTGAAAACTAACTTCTCGTTCCAGTGAGGGTTTAGATCTTTTAAACGCGTTTGCGTTCTCTGTCTTTGTTGGTCGAAATCAACCTCGACGAAAGGACTCGCTGATCCTTGTCCGTCTTTAGGCATCAAATCGCTCGCGTCCACGATTTCTACTACTAGTTTGCTCATATTTGGAGTTTCTAAATAAATAACAAAAAGCGGTGAAGAGAGAGAAAACGCCCGGCGGAGAAGAGTCGGTG